ATATACTATCTTAGAAATCTCACTATTTCTAAAAATAGATTCAATATAATAATAACATTTTTTTAAGACGTGCAAACATTTAAGCCGAAAGTACAACAAGCCATCAATTTAATAATATTATAATTTAAGTCGGTCAAATGACGATGCAATACGTGCAAGTATCCAATGCAACAGATAAAAAATCTCAATTTCATTTTAAATAGGGCTTCCTTATCTTTTGCCAATAATGTGGTATTTCTCCGCTCAAGATTAGAGACTCATTTAAATAATAAACCACAAGTACCGGGTAATAAGGAGATTTGCAGCTACTTACGATGCCCTATTTGTCGATCCTTTTACCCAGTCCTTTAATCTTCGATGAAGTCGTCTTGAAGCCTGAGATTTCGGCAAAAAAATTTTTGTTCTCGCCCTCCTTTCCCTTATATCAGGCGATCGCCGAAATCATTTCCGGTCTCTTTCTATGAAACAATTTTTCTCCTTCTCAGTCAAGAAACCCAAACACCAATTACCAACATTGTTATCCCTACCACTACTGAACCACCAACGTACAAATGAAGGTACAATTCTACATATACACTTGTGTTTTGAGTTTTAAATTTGCGATTTATTAATGCTTAATTTCGAAGCAAGCCCATCAGTTTTGAAGAGTGCCATCATGCTTTGAATGCTCTAATTTTTAGTTATGTATGTATCTAATCTTCCTCTTTAATGATTGGATTCACCTGTTTTATTTCCCCATAATTTAATTTGTATGATTTTTTTGTGAATACATATCCAAAACTTGTATACTTTCTAACTGAATTTGTGTGTGCTTTTTTTTCGATTTGCAAGTAGGTTGTAATAGATGAACGGTTAAGTGACTGCAAATAAGTGGATTTAGTTTAATTATGCTGACATCTGTTATTTTCAAGTGAATTGTGAAGCAGTAACAAGAATTATCCGTATGAGTGTTTCAAGATTGGTTTTAGTTTTACTATGCTCATGTCTAACGGGAATGAATTTTTTCAGGATATACAATTACCAAGAAAAAAAGATTATGAGATAGCTAGTCGACCATCACATGCATTGCTCACTGCCACTGCTAACCACCACCCACTCTCTTTCTCCTCAAATTTCATGTATTTTTGCAACTGCTGATTTAAAAGGTTAAAGGAATTTATAGGTAAACAAGGTTGAGATTTAGTGATTATGAAGCTAATTTAGTGTTTCTTTAGAGGTATCCTCTTGCAGGTCTGACTCTTTGGGAAGCTTTACAACATGTTGAAGACCCAAACACTAACAAACCATTAGTCACAATAACTGATGTTGGGGTTTCTCAACCAATTATAGAAGAAGATAGTGGTTCTGATGTGTGAAATGGTGTTAGCACCAAAGAGTTGGCTTCATTTAGGTACATATTTTTGGAGTTTTAGTTTGCTACTTTTGTTTTTTGAGTTTTATTCTTTACTAGGCATTTAGATGTCATTTTTGTTGAGGGTGTAAGTATGTCTTTCTATATTATAACAGGTTGTGTGAGTTTAAAATTCTTGAAAAGTGTATTCTTAAACTTGTGGAGAGAGAAATGGGAGGATTTTTAGGAATATTATTCACGATCCAGTTTTTTTACAAGAGTAATATTGGAAAATGTTGGAAGTAAGAACTTGTGCCATAATTAATTATGGGCACAAGAGTCTTAATAAGAAAATATATATAAAAAAAATGTTGATAGCCAAAGCCAAAAACTTGGTTTGTTTTCTATGAATAGCAAAAGTCAAATGTTCAGAATATTGTTTTCCAAAAATAAATATTTAAGATTTTAAATGGTCTTTGTTTGATTATTGATGGTTTTAAAAGGAAGGGGCAATTTGGTCATAATATAAAATTCTTGGAATAATAGTCTTAAAAAATCAGTATCATCTTGAATGTTTGTAGTTGTATGGACAAAGTTTGGATATTTGTTTTATATGTGTGATTATAGCATTCTAATGTATAGCTATTTTTTCAAACTTAATCTTTGTATAAAATAGGTTTCTTTATAGTAACCTTCATTAGATATCAGAAGCCTTTTAGACATTTTGTCCACTTGGATGTCACTGCACGACTCAAATCCACTAACTAGGAGACTAATTTTGCCTTTCTAAAAAAAGTTTTTTAAACTTTATATTCCATTTTGTGTTCATTCAAAGTCAATTTAAACCTTGGTTCGACTACAAGGAGGTAGAGGTTAAGTGTTTTCCTTACGGTTATTCATTTTTCAGGCAAAGGTAGCTCTATAACCATTAGTGGTCTATTGGACATCAAAGTTGAAGCCTATACAAAGTATGCTCTCATGCCATTGTAATAACCTTTTGGTGTTTTGTAACTTCTTCCCTAACCATAAATTACACCACTTTTTGTGTTTTATAAGAAAGAGGTGGTTAGCATATGTCAAATATAACAATCGTGATGTGTAAAATGTATGTATTGTATCTGATGTAATTATTTTTCCCTTTTCTAATTTCATTTTTTGTAAAATAACACATTGATTTGTACTGATATTATGATCGTCAATCTAATTTACTATTTGCTAATAAAATTACTAAAAACTATTAAAAATGTATGACATGTGAATTTAGCTTCCTCTGATCTATACAATAGTTGTAATGTTTTTTGATTTTACGCTGACAATATGAATATATAACTGGAATTATAAACAAAATATAAAATGGAGGATTAAAGTTGTACTTTTTGAAAATTAATAAGAGATGGGAGGTCCTTGTGCTTTATAAAACTTGATAATAATTTGGAAAATTATTTTATATAAGTTGAAAGGTAAACCGTTTGTGGTTAGAAACGAATTTTAATGTATAGAGTTTGTTAATAATACTTAATATGCTCCTTGTATGTTACAACAAAAAATGTGAAAGAGTTTTATTTTATTTGTCTTAATTTTGACTGTATTTAAATTACATTTTGTGTAATGCAAACAAACACAATAATTTCTTTGTGGAGAGAAAAAAAGTCTGATGTCGTTTTCTTTGAGTGCTTACAACTTGTGAGACCTTTTACAATTAAAAAATATAATTTCGTAGAATAAATCATATTTGATATTTGTTTTTTTTTTTTTTTGGGAAAGAGGCCAAAGCCCCGGCAAAGATTTTATAGAGACAAAAAAGAAAACCAAGAGTTATGTCATTTTTGGACAAACCCCAAAAATGAACAAAATCCAAACATCACGTAAATACCAAAACCAAAGGCTAACCCTAACAACAATATAGACAAAGAAAAGACAATTAATTTTATTCCAACTCCACAGCCCGGAGTGGTCTTCAAGCCTCCACTTCAACACGAATTGAAATCGCCATCTTCTCTCAAATTCTTCAAAATTGTGTTCATTATGTATGGTCCACATCCAAATGTCCAAATTAGCACAAGACCCATGAAAAGGATTGTCCCAAAATATCCACAAAAAAATGTATATAGTATCCAAATTCCAATTCCAAATGATATCCACAATAGCAATCTTCTTTCTTCTTTCCACCCTTCTATCTTTATTCTTCTTTATGCACTTCAAAAGCAAAACGCTAAAAATAGCCAAAATATCAACCCCACTCATTCCTTTATCATCTATCTTCCAAATCTCAAAAGCCATTTTTCTTTTTACACCAATAAACAAATCCACATCCAAATTCCAATCAATCCTAGCCAAAATAACTAAATTTTTAGAACACTTGCCATCAATACATCTTTTATGCACATCGATAATCTCCAAAAAAATCTTCAATAAAGCCTTCCAAATATCATTGATTCCAAAAAACCTCAAAAAAATCTTCAATAAATCATCATCTCTATCGAAATTATAAAGCAAATATCCGTCAATTCCTTGAGTGTACACACCTTGTTTCCAAGGCGGGAATTCACTTTTAAGGGAAAAAGTGATAAAAATCCCGAACCGTCAATTCCTTGAAAATACACACCTTGTTTCCAAGGTGGAAATTCACTTTTAAGGGAAAAAGTGATAAAAATCCCAAAACCGTCAATTCCTTGAATATACACACCTTGTTTCCAAGGCGGGGGATCACTTTTAAGGGAAAAAATGATAAAAAAAACTTGTATCCGTCAATTCCATTGATATACACACCTTGTTTCCAAGGCGGAAGTTCACTTTTAAGGGAAAAAGTGATAAAAATCCCGTATCCGTCAATTCCTTTTAGATACACACCTTGTTTCCAAGGCGGGAGTTCACTTTTAAGGGAAAAAGTGATAAAAATCCCAAAACCGTCAATTCATTGTTTATACTCACCTTGTTTCCAAGGCGGAAATTCATTTTTAAGGGAAAAAAAGATGAAAGTCCCGAATCCGTCTATTCCATGAATATACCCTCCATGTTTCCAATTTGGATAATCATAACAAATGAGGAAAAAACCCCAATGTATATGAATTAAAACCACTACATGAGTCATAAACCACATGAAACTCGGGATCAAACCGAGATGCAATTCACTTTTAAGGGAAAAAGTGATAAAAATCCCAAATCCGTCAAATCCTTGTATAAAACACCTTGTTTCCAAGGCGTAAATTCATAGCAATTAGGCATAAAGCCCAAATGTATATGAATTAAATCCACTTCATAAAGTAAACACCAAATGAAACTCGGGATCAAACCGAGAAGCAATTCATTTTTAAGGGAAAAAATGACAAAAATCCCATGCCCGTCAATTCCTTTATACAAATAGTGAAGAATAACTCCATTAAT